CGGGCCCCCCCTCCGCCTCCCTCCCCGTCTTGTCTGTCTGACCCCGCAGGACGACGCCGATCCTCGGCCAGGGCCACCATCGCCGCCCTCCCAGCCGCCCCTCCCGCAGGTGGGCATCGGCGGGGCATCGGCGGGGGCGGAAGGGCCGAGCCCCCTCCCGGTGGGGCCTTCCGGCTGCCGGTCCCGCTCACTCTCCCTCCTCCTCCTCCTCCGCTTGCAGGGCTGAAGCGCCGGGCGGCTGTTCTTGCGGAGCCTCCCAAGCCAGGTAAGGCAGCCCCCACCCCTGCGCCCCCCACCCTGCGGCCCTTAAGCCCCTCCCCCCCCACCCGTGCTCACCTGGGCCTTTCCTCCCCAGGACCCCCGGCTGCGGCCCCCGGGGGCGGGCGGGAGCGGAGGCGAGCCCCCTGGGACCTGAAGGGCCAGATCAGCGACCTCCAGGCCAAGGTGGCCGCCTACAAGGAGCGGGTCCAGGGGCTGGCCGGGGAGAACGAGGCCCTGAAGAGCCAGGTGGGGGGCCTGCAGCAGGAGCTGGCGGAGGCCACCGGCCGGAACGGAGAGCTGACCACCCGGGTCAGGTGAGGCAGTGCCGGCTGCGGAGGCCGAGGGGGGGGGGCCCCGGGGGCCCCCCCCCGGGCCCCCCCCCCCCCCCCCCCGGTCTTCTTGGTCAGTCTGCTGGCCTCGGAACTGCAGGGCTGCCGAGAGCAGGCCAGGGAGAGCGGCCAGAGGGTGTCCGAGCTGCTGGAGAAGGAAGAGCGGCTGGAGGAAAGGTGCCGGAGCCAAGCCCAGAGGATCGGACAGCTGGAGGCCCTCCGCCAGGAGCTCACGGAGGGCAGCCGGGAGCAGGCCTTCCAACTGAAGGCCAGAGAGGTGAGAGGACAGACTGCGCCTTCTCGGCGCGTCTTGGTTCAGCCCTGGGCAAGGTCAGGAGAGGAGAGCCTCGGTTCTCCCCCGCACCCCGGTCCACGCCTTTTGGGAGTGGGGAGGTGAGAACGACACAGCCAGGTTTTGCACAAGCCCTGTCACGCATGCAGCCCATTGAGTCCTGGAGGAGGGGGAGGCACCAAGTCCGGCCCTCCGTCCTCCTCTCGCCACCCCTGAGCCGCCTCGGCCGTCGCTGCCTTTCCTGGGCCAAGCAATCGTGGGGTAGGGGTGTGTGTTGCACCATCTCAAACATGGAAGGCAGTGACTCTCTTCTCTGGCTTTGTCGAGCGGCTGCCGTGCTGTTGGCAGGCCCAGGTTGGTCCCAGGGGCTCGAACGCTGCCCAGCGTCCACTAGGCAGCTGGGCCTTCCTCCCTCTGGCCAAGGTTGGTTACGCAGATCCCCCTCCCACCCCGCTTCCAGAAGGGGCAAAGGTTCAGAGGAGGCGAGAAGAGACTGGCGTAGGGGGGGGGGGGGGGGGGGGGGGGGGGGGCCCCTGCTGAACCTGCCTCTGGGGGCGCCAAACGAGACTCAGCAGGCCCTTCCCTTCTTGCTGCTCAGCGAGAGCTGCTGCTGTCCGGAGAGAGCCTGGCCGGGCAACAGCAGCTGAACGAGGGGCTGATGGCCCGGCTGGAGGTGCTGGAGGAGCAGCTGCACCAGGGAGACATGGAGCGACGCTGCCTGCACAACGCACTGCAGGAGCTGAAGGTGGGAAGGGCGCCCTCCACCGCGCGTGTGTGCGCGTGTGTTGGGGGGGGGGCGCGCCCCTGGCCCGGGGGGGGGGGCCCGCCCCCCCCCCCCCCCCCCGTTTTTGCCCTCCCAGGGCAACATCCGCGTCTTCTGCCGAGTGCGGCCCCTGCTGACCAGCGAGAGGCAGGCTCAGAAGGCCGCCAGCCACCTGCGCTTCCCGGCCGACAACAACAAGAGCCTTGGGCTCTCCAGGACAGAGGAGGTACCTTCCTCCCCCCCACCCCACTCACACGGGCAGAGGGAGACCAGTGTCCCACCGCTGGGTGGAGCGGAGCCAGGGAGGCGGGGGGGGGTTGGGGGGAGCCCAGGGGGAGGACTGGGTACTTCGCTCTCCCAAAGTGACCCCTCCCTCCCCCTTCCCCTACCCCCCTGCAGTCCCACATTGGCCGTGAGCGCAAGGAGGACGTCACCTACGACTTCCACTTCGACCGGGTGTTTCCCCCGTCCAGCTCTCAGGAGAGCGTCTTCGAGGAAATCGCCCTGCTGGTCCAGGTGGGGGGGGGGGGAGCGGAGGGGCGTCTGGTGGGTGGCAGGGGGCGCTCCCCCCCCTTGGCCAGGCGTTCACCCTCCCGGGCTCTCCTCTTCCTCCTCCCTCTGCTAGTCAGCCTTGGACGGGTATCATGTCTGCATATTCGCCTACGGGCAAACGGGAAGCGGCAAGACCTACACGATGGAGGGCCCCGAGGACGCGGCCCCCGAGACGGCAGGTGTGATTCCTCGGGCCGTGAGGCGGATCTTCGAAACCTCCCGTGAGATGGAAGCCAAGGGGTGGCAGGTGAGGGGGGGGGGGGGGGGGGGTCCTTTGCAAGCGGTATCCCAATCCTGCAAGCCGGCAGAATCGGGAATGGACTCTGGGCCTCCTTTCCGAACCCCGGCCTTCTCTCCCTCCCCTCCCCAGTACCAGTTCACAGCCAACTTCCTGGAGATCTACAACGAGTCGCTGCGGGATCTTTTGGTGCTGCGGCCGGAGCAGAATGGGGATCTGGAGATCCGCCGAGTGAGCCAGTTCACAGAGGAGCTTCACGTCCCCAACCTCTCCTGCGTCTCCGTCTCTTCTGAGGAGGAGGTACGACGCCCTCCCCCCAGCCCCTCCCCAAACTCTGAGGGGGGGCTCCTTGTGCCTCTGTCTCCACCCCCCCTCCCTTCAGGCTCCTGGGACCCTCCCTCCTTTTCCCTTTCCAGGTCCAGAGGCTGCTGCTGACGGCCAAGGCCCACCGCTCCGTGGCCAGGACCAACCTGAACGAGCGCTCCTCCCGCAGCCACAGCCTCTTCCAGCTCCGTGTGGAGGGCAGGAACGCCAAGCGGGGGCTCCACACCTCCTGTGAGTGGGGGGGGGGGGGGGGGGCCGGGGGTTCCCCGGGGCCCCCCTGGGGGCCCCCCCCCCCCCCTCCCCTGACCTGCTCTTCTCTCCTTGGCCCTGCAGCTGTGCTGAGCTTAGTGGACCTGGCGGGCAGCGAGCGGCTGGACAGGTCCTTGTCCACGGGGGAGCGGCTGAAGGAGACCCAGGCCATCAACACCAGCCTCTCCACCCTGGGCCTGGTCATCAACGCCCTCAGCAACAAGGTAGCAGCCACTGCCCCTCGGGCACCATGGCGGGGGGGGGGGGGGGG